AAGCAACACGAGGGCCCTACTATCTTCTGGCCGGATCTAGCTTCGTGCCGCTATTCAAATGTTGTCCTGGAGTAGTACGAAGCCATGTCCTTGGGTCACTTTCATACCCAAGGACATGAACCCAACGCACCGGAACTTAGGCCTATCGAAAAATACTGGGCTATTATGAAGCAGGCACTACGGAAGCATCCCAAGGAGGTCAAATCTGAGGAAGACATGAATAAAAAGTGGGTTTCCGTACAGAAGAAGCTGCAGTCAGATGTTGTACATAACCTAATGAGTGGAGTTAAGCGTAAGGTGCGACCGTACGGTTATGGTATTGAAGCTGAATGAAATAAATTTGCCAAAAACTTACTAATGGGTCATATTTTGCGTCAATATGTTCATCAATATTTTCGTCGTCAATATTTGCATCAATATGATTGTCAATACTTTTGAGTTCCTGTGTGGTGCTTGCTATATCTATAGAAACATAATAGGAGCGTACAGCCATGACTGCTGCATCATCAAATCCCCACCGCCCTTTGGACTGGAGTCCTGTCCGCTGGGATTTTCTTGTTTCAACATATTTAAAATATCCGAAACTACGGGCCACCACTCAAACCATCAATAAATCTATATAGGGCCCCGTAACGTGGGTAGATCACTTTTTCGTGGTACGTTACGGGATGTAAGATCTACCACCGATTCCTAGTCCTGACTGCTTCAAACTAGGGGAACAGGATTTTTCAGTAATCCAAGGAACACATCTTAGTCCTTGTTACTTTTTATGCCTTGTTGATAGTGACAAGACTCGGCTTTGTCTACCGAGGATGATCTTGAAACAAGGAAAAAAATGAGTTAGTTGTCTTCATCTATGTGATTCCTAATCTTCTATTCGTTGTTCCCTAGTTTGAAGTGGTTAAGACTAGGGTTCTGATGCATGGTCATTATCGGTGTCAAACCTTAATTTTGTTGCTAAGGAATCCAATTTTGACTGACAAAGGGGCGCGCTTTTGGAGGGTGTTTCAACACTCCGAAGGGTATAAATAGCGGAACCTTTCAATTTGAGTCGGATCCGTGCGATAAATGCAAGAATACTTCGTCATTTCTCAATAGTGATGGATTAATACGACATGCACTAAACTAAGGACACGGGTTATACTACAATAGATCAATTTACTGGTCGCAGTAGTGTTAGGTCCCGAACAGAGGAAAAAAAAAATCTATATAGGACATCAATGCGATTATGGACGGAAAACATCGTTTCATGTCACATTGTTGCAACTATTCTTCATTGTTGGCATCATCGTGCGGCAACAAGAGAGTGTTTGATTCTAAAGCTACATACTGAGCACAGTGTTGCGTTATCAGGATGTAATTACCTGTCATTACTGGTGCCTTCACAAGTCATTTCCTATCGCTTAGGGTGATCTTCAAGCGGTATATGGTAATGTGAAGTTCTTTGCAATAGGTAGCATTCACCAAAGGCTGAACCCAGCAGGAAACAAGAACATAATATGGCCAACCGCATTGTGGGGGGCTGGAATCATTGTCAGTTAATGAAGCGAGAGTCAATCATTTCGATTTTGCTCTAAAGGTGACGGGTGGTCTTTCACGCTGTAAGTGACTGATTATGCATGTAGGGAATATTACATATCTGCCGGTAGAATTGTACACTGAAAGTATTTCTTCGTTAATTCGTGAATATAAAACATTTTTTTTTTGCATTGCCTATCATCCGGCAAAATGCTAATAATACTCCTGACTCGTACAATACACGAACTGAACTTCGTACGGACCTGCAAATTGCTACTGTTCTTGTCTTCTAAGGTGCCCGTTCATATTTGTGTTGCTGCTGTTGCTGATGGTGGTGATGCGTTGAGTTGTGGGTGTTGGAAAGTTTTCTATTGCTGTTGCTATCGGTCTAGGTGTCTGCTGTTGCTGCGAATGATGCTGATGAGAATGTGGATGGTGGGCATGAGAAATTGGTTCGACAGCCATCATTGAAGGCGGAATCGTCAAGATGGGCTTTCATTAAAACACGGACTTTATTGCTGGTGCTAATGGACGGAAATCATTCTCCACGAGAGGGAATGAAGGCTGGCTGCCTTCTATGGGAATGGGGGAATGGATTCCCCTGGACCCTTTGTTATTAGTTTGCTTTTTTCCACATCGATTATTGTGGGTGGCTAAAATGTTTAATTACATAATTTGTAAATACCTTCGTACTAGTTACGAAAACCAGAAACATCATCTGTTTCTTATCAACATTTTCGTTGCTCTTTGTATTATCTTCGTACAATGCACGTATATTATTTTTTAGAATTCGAATATTTCGTATATGAATCATTCGTACCCAAAACGAAATAAAATCAGATGCGAGTGTGCCATTTTTAACGAAACTAGGTTCAGAAAACAACGAATGGATACGTAGAGATGTATAACCAAAATTTTATTTTCAGTGTATGGTTCGATATTAAATAACTCACCAAGCCTGCATTGTTCACTGGCTCCGAGTAATGTTTGAATGCAGATAATATCAGCAACCTAATCATGTTGCCCTCGAGCTTGATATGTGCCGTTGATGGTATTGTTTTTGAGAATGTATTGTCCAAAATACAAGCGAAATGGAAAACAACACGCTTACGAGCCTTAATGTATTGGAATGTTTTTCTAGCCGAGCAAGTAAATAAATTCCTTGAGCGTTAAATTTCTATCAACCGGTATACTGAAACACGATGCATCTTCAAAGTAATGTGAGTAAAAAAAAATTAAAAATGAGTGATTAAAAACTTAAATAGCCAAAAAATTCTTGCTTAATAGTCTTGATTCAAAAACAACTTATGAAAAAAATATCGATCACGGGCACCGGGGTGAAATTAAAATTATCTTATCATTCTCACGTATAACGTTTTTAGTGATAGATATCAAAAGAAATCTTAAAAGCATATCAAGGAAAAAAATGAGCCATCAAGAGCATTTTCATTGTAAAACAGAACCGCGAAATACATTAAAAAATGGCCAAAAACTACAATCATTTTAAAAATATCTACTTTTAAACCGCTACGTCTCGAAAACGATGCGACTTAGAAAGAAAAAAACCCAAATTGATCCACCGGGCAGGTGAATAGAACCTTTGTTACCCAGTATAATCTCGTTTTTGATATTATCAAGACATATACGAGGCATTAATAGATTTTTTTATTAGTCTCAGTTTCTGCACTGCTCAATTGCTGCATACAAAACAGCAATTGCTAGTTTGAATTGGAGTCCAAATCATAAATCAGAGCTTTATGACTTTATACTTAATCTGTTTTATTGTGCTCTACATACTTTAAGAACCAACTTATCTGGTCTCAATGATGACACCGTGTAACCATTTTGTGTCTGTCTAATGTTATCAATTGGTTGAACTGTAACTTAGTTGCCACACAATAGTGACAGAAATTTTTTTCGAATATCTTGACCTGTCAAATTCGCTACGCTGAAACATTATTTTTATGACGAATATGTAACTTGGTAACTATTGTATACCGCATTACAGTGGCATTTTCATTTCAGCGTGACCCTAATAGTTGCATGTCTCCAGATGGTAACACAAATGCAATCTCATTGATCTGGACAAATGAAAGCTACACCGCCGCTCTAAAATGTTTCACCAATTACAATCTTATTGTTTGTTCCTTTTTTTATCTAAATGAAAAAATATATTTAATTAATGGTGATGCTATTGTGAATGCCGAGCCTTAAAGACAAATTAATAGAAAAGAGTTTTTATTCTTATTTCGAGACATTTTTCATATCATGAATCTTTTCGTTAGAAGTTATTTCATCACTACAATGTAACTAGTTTTGTAACATTAAATTGGTTACATATCAACTCGCATCTTGCGCTATTTTGGTTGCATTGCTGTTGCCTTCATGGTTACTGTAATTATTTTACTACACATAATTTGGTCACAACATAGCGGCAGCAACTTTTTTGTGACTACATGTGCTACTTGAAGTCTTAGTGCTTCAATTTGTTGAAAAATGTCAAGGACGCCATTTGGAAAAAAAAATCAAGATTCAATATGGCAGATGCAAAAATATGAATAATTTCCCAGAGCCAGGGTTGCTTCCACTCACTTTCTAAAAAAATGGTTTACGAAATTATGAAATCATTAGATGATATAATGGTATGTTGTACTTGCAAGTAAAAATAGTGTAAAGGATGTGTTTAACTCATTAAACCTGTCAATTTCGCTTTCAGAGCGTCACAATCGGCGAGCTTAAGATTCGCGAGCGTTCATTTTGAGTGAGCGCTCACGAATCGTTAAATCGCTGATTGTGACGCACTGAAAGCAATACTGACAGGTTTAATGAGTTTAACACATACTTCACGACCTCTTCTTGTAACTTACAAGTACTTATTATCATTATAACATCTAATGTTTTCATAATTCAGAACACCATAATACATAATACGGCCGCAACACATAATTATGAAAAGTTCCATGCAAATCAGAGAAGTTCGAATCTTTAATTTAAATTTGTTCATCCTATTTGGCTTGGATCTGCTCCTCTATCAAAAATATCGTCTTATCAATAATCCACAACATTGCTGTATTCGATACCCGATGATTCTTTTTTTTTTGTCTCTGATTTGATGCAGAATCCAATCGGATCTTCAGATATTTTACTTCCTATAACAGGCATAGTGCACATGCGTTCAGAACCATGGGACAAGTGAGGAGCAGAAACCTTCCAGGAAATATATTTCCTTTGCCAGAATTACGAGCCAAGAAGTTATTCAGCTACGTGTTGTCGATGCTTTACCAACTTTTTTTTTAAGATTCTCAGTACTCTTCTGTATATGGTTAAACTTTTTCTATACTGCACACAGACAGACACACAGCATTGTCGATACCATTATCCACGAGATAAAAAAAAACTCCTACACAATCTCTAACCGATAAATCTTTTCTTTACATTTTTCTCATCTTTCCGTCGCCCCATCACGATCGCTGCAATTGCAGATGGCAATTTATAGTGCGCTTATCGAACGGCGGCATTCCGATACAGACCGAGATCTATCTTCGTGATTGGAGCCTAAAGCACGAGCTGCGGAACCGGGCCATGATTTACGATACCGGTAGTGTTGGTAACAGTGGAAGTAGCAGCAGCAGCAGCAGCAGCAGCAGCAGTAGCAACAGCGGAAGTGGAAGCAGTACTGTTTCCCAAGGAAGCCAAAGGAGTGGAAGTGGTTCATCTTCTACCGTGGCGGGATCCAGCGTAGATTGCGTAAGTTTCATTTTGATTGTTTGATTGTCGTTGAGGGTTGAGGTTAACGAAGCATGCAAAAACGTACTCTGATTTGAACAGGACAAATTTATATCGGTAACATTTGTATCTTTTCTCGTATACAGTTTTATGGAAGAGGGGTTTTTGGGGACATATCCTATTTTTGGATTTTAAGATTTTTCATGCGGTGCATCATGCATCATGATCTTAAAAAGTTCTGGACATGAAATTGAAATTCGTCAGACACTTTATAGACTTATGGTCATAAGAAGGAAATCTCTTAAGGTACCCGAACTTGCTATAACTAAACCATGAAATCCTTTGATTTTACTCTTGCAATTTTGAACGACCCATGGAAATTTATCATCTGAATACATTTGCTTTTAACCCTTCGTCTGTACCTTGGGGTCAATTTGACCCAGAAACCACCCCCCCCCCCCCCCTTCCCCTTTGATAAGCAAGAACTTTTCTATTTATTGACATTTTTCAGTAATTCTTTTTTTTTTCGGTTTGTCAGGATGAACTAGCCTTCGACTAAAAAAAAACACGTTAATAATACAAAAATTAATCTCGTCTGATATAAAACCAGCTTGAACCAAATCGACTTCGATTAAACATGCTGATGTCATTTGTGATAACTGTCGACCTGTCCGTTTCAGTTCTGCTTAAGCCCACATTGTTTTTGGGCCTTGAAAGTTGTACCAACCGGTGGAAACTAACGTTTTAAAATTGGCTCACACTGGACTAGCCTATCGGTCCCAAGTACATCGATGAACGTACCCCATTCTAGTTGAAATTCTAGCACTACACTATGTTTGTTTTGATTCGCTATGAAAGTTTGACAGGTAAAATTAAGGGTTTCGTAGATTTTCCTATGTTTCGAGAGATGCATCGATTAGCTTCGGACCGAGGAGAGTACCAGAGCTGAACCAAACAGTTGAACACGTTTCTTCGGGACCTTTTGGTCGTGGAGTTACCTTTTCCCCCTTGATTTGTTTTCCGTCGATCTTGTTTTCCGTGTTGAGCACCAATGCTACCGACGCCAGTGAGGCACAACTCCCACACCTGGATCCTACCAATCGACCATCAACTCATGAACCGGGGACCAACGGCTTTACTTCGGCGTGATCAGAGATGTTATGCCTTAGAACATCCCGGCGGCGCCGACTGGGATTGAATCCAGGCCTGCTGGGGTAAGAGGTAATCACGCTTACCCCTACACCACCACTTTTAGAGTTACCTCTATGGTTTTATTCCTGCCACACTCATGTATCCACCATCGAGGATAATACCATAAAGGTATCTCTAAGACCAAAAGGTCTCGAATAAACGTGCTGAACTTTTTGGCTCAGCTCTGGTACTCTCTTTGGTCCCAAGCTAATCGATGCACCCCTCGAAACATAAGAAAATCTACGAGACCCTGTCAAACTTTCATAGCAAATCAAAACAAACATAGTGTAGTACTAGAATTTCGACTAGAATGGGGAACGTTCATCGATGTACTTGGGACCGATAGGCTAGTCCAGTGTGAGCCGATTTTAAAACGTTAGTTTCCACCGGTTGGTATTATCAACCGGTGGAAACTAACGATTTTAAATTGGCTCACTACTGGACTAGACTATTGATCCCAAGTACATCTTTAAGCGTACCCCATTCTAGTCGAAATTCTAGTGCTACACTATGTTTGTTTAGATTTGCTATGAAAGTTTGACCGATAAAATGAGGGGTTCGTGGATTTTCGAGGGGTTTATCGAATAGCTTGGGACCGAAGAGAGTACCAGAGCTGAGCCAAAAAGCTGAGCACGTTTCTTCGGATCCTTCTCATCTTAGAGTTGCCTCTACACTGATGAAATTTCAAAGATTGTTTTTACATGTCCCACACATGATTTTTTGCAATGTGATCAATAAATGATATTTATGTGTCGGACACATACTTAATATGTGTACACATAAGATCCATGTGTAACCACACATACTGTTCATTTGACTCATAAATTTTATGTGTGCTTCTGGGTGACTTATGTTTATGTGTGGCCACATGAAAATCATGTGGAATTTTACATGGAAATTCGTCAATACAAATGTGTGGAATTCTATTAGTGTATGGTATTATCCTCAATTTAAATCTCAGCTTTCACTTTAATACCCCGATTTCGGGGTATTAATGAATATCTGACATTTTCAAAAAGTACGTAGCCAAAACAAAAGCTAGCTCTATCCGCATTTGCATAAAAAAAACATAGAACAGGATTATAAATTCTCCCGTCAATGTCAAAAAACATTGACCGATTCTCTTCATCGACTTTCTCTTTGAATGGTGGCCGTGTTAATATATGTCCGGATATTTTCGACATGCAGTTCGATGTTGGCGGATGATTCCCGTTTATGACCGCTACTGCTGCTATTGTTGCTCCTTCAGTAGTGTGACAAGCATTGTGAAGCCCATGAGGAGTACTTGTCCAACCGGTGGTACTGGTAGGCAGAGTTACCAAATGATTTTTCGGAAAATCTGGCAGTTGTAGAATAAAAAGTGTGGATTTGTCTGTTTTTCTTGATAATGATGTTTTTAATATATGTTATTTTTTTTTTTTCAATCTACTCACATTTATTTTTGACAGAACAATGTTATACGTTTGCTACTTTATAATATACTTTGAAATACTATATTTGATGATCGAAGGTCCATTATCATTGGCATTAAGGTACAAGCCATTATCATTGGTGTTAAGGTTAACATGATTATTTGTAACAAAATTTTCATGCATTGTCGAAAAATGTTGTCTGTTTCGAGATTTTGTTCAATTTATATTGAGTTCTCTTGAGTTTCTCCACCCAGTCGATGGACGGAAGATGACGATTTTGGCATGGCCAAAATACTTGGAATAAATTTTCTTAGTTGAGGAAATGCCAGCTCAGCACCACATTTTGTTATGGCAAAAGATAACCAAATTGCTTGATTCATCAATAAAACTATTCAAAAGGTTAAGGTACACGCCAGCTCCCTAAATTTTTGGTCATACACCTAAATTATTTCCCGAATCCCGAATATAATATTTGAAAATGTTCTGTGAGCGGTCAAATCGTTTGATGCCTCTTTTCTTTAGCATTGTGAACCAAAGTGAATTGAGAAATCTAAAAAAAAATCTGGACAAATCATGAAAAGTGTGGTCTCGACAAGAGATTGTCTGGATGTCTGGATGGTCTATAAAAATCTGAAAAATTCCAGATAAATCTGGAAGGTTGGCAACGCTGCTTGTAGGCAACAAATTCGTAAACGTAATTCAAACTCAACATGACATTAGGTCCTAAGTAACATTGACAGATGCCCTGTAACGTGGGTAGATCACCTTTTCGTTGTACGTTACGGGATGTAAGATCAACCACCGATTCCTAGTCCTGACTACTTCAAACTAGGGGAACAGGATTTTCAGTAATCAAAGGAACACATCTTAGTCCTTGTCATTTGTTATGCCTTGTTGATAGTGACAAGACTCGGCTTTGTCCACCGAAGATGATCTTGAAACAAGGAAACAATGAGTAAGTTAGTCTTCATCTATGTGATTCCTAATTTTCTATTCACTGCTCCCTAGTTTGAAGTGGTTACGACTAGGATTCTGAAGCATGGTCATTATCGGTGTCATTCCTTAATTTTGTTGCTAATGAATCTAATTTTGACTGGCAAAGGGGTGCGCCTTTGGAGGGTGTTTCCACACTCCGAAGGGTATAAAGAGCGAGACCTTTCAATTAGAGTCGGACCTTGCGATAAATGAAAGAATGGCAATTGTAAAAAAATCGAATACTTCATCATTTCTCCATAGTGATGGAGTAATATGACATGCACACCGACACGGGATATACTACAATTGATCAAATTACTGGTCGCAGTGGTGTTAGGTCCCGAACAGAGGAAAACAAACATTGACGGATTCTCATGGTCAACTTTCTCTTTGTATCTCCACGGCCATGTTATGACATTTTCAAGTATTTTCAGTACAAATATCGATAAAAGAAGCTTTAACCTAGCATCTTATACAAACACACACAAACGATTATGTGCTCAAGTTATTAGCGAAAGAGAAGGTCGACAAAGATAATTGATCAATGTTACTTAGGACCAAATGCAATGTTCAGCTTGATATAGGTTCCTGTTTCGGTACACGGTAAGAAAAAAGTAACCAACGGCCAGTTCAATTTTACCTATCTTTGACTAGTTTGTCTCCTTTTCTCCTTCTAATGTTGTCAAAAACGGAGTAGTAAAGTGTGGGAACACAACGTTGAGTATAATAATATTTACCTTCTTTTGAGTACAACTAACAAATGAAAAATTCCTTATAAAGTTCACACAATTAAATGAAAACTACTTTGACCCGCTTTACCTACTTTTGGGCTCCTGCACTATAGTGCCGAGATATGTGATGAGAACTTATACTCAAAAAAATACACACTTAATTTTGCGCTTATTGTGCAACACACCCATTTCATGTGTGAATCTTATGCTATGAATCATGCCTGAATACTATGGATTGGAATTGTGACACACTTGGATTCTATGTGCCTCATTTGGTGATATCAATAGCTTTGCACATCATAGTTCAATATTCTACAATATTCTACTTTATCAACTTCTACTTTACCGACTGCTAAAAATGAATCAACAAATATATAAACAAAACTGCCAGAGGCCGGAGCTTCCACATATATTTTTAATGGGTCTGATTTGGGATTCGATCATGGACTGTTGAGGTGTGTTGCTGCCGGTGTCTTTGTTCGACCTTACTGTACCACGGTTGTTCTCATGTATGAGGCGGATTGATAGGATAAAGTCATAAGTCTTGTTTTCGATGTTTACCTTTCTGAGCAAGCAATTCACATCGCATTGAAATGCACAACACTTTAAATTCATCTGTTTTGAACAGTAGTGTGATTCAATGTGCAATACACTTGAATAGATAGTGAAAGATTTCCAACATTTCAAAATTTGAAACACTATAAATTAACGT